ACAAAAATCTCGAACTAAAGATTAAGCAAAAGGACACAGAGGTACATTATACTAACGTAACTTCGGGTTCTTAGAAATAATATCACTGTATTTGACGAGGAGTAATGAAAGATAACGGACATGGCCGTTACAGGGGGGGCCTTAATATCTCAGAAACAGCTTGATCCTTACGGCTCGTTCACATCTCATAGGAAAAAGAAATGTTTGGTCTACCAAATCACTGCAAAAAGGTACAGTGACAGGTAACATCCTGGGCGATCACAAGGCAAAAACTGGAAAAATCGCTTTTTCTCAACCATACTTTTTTTAATATTTTGGATCTAGAAATCGCGAGTCCAGCTTCACCAAAAACTAAATTATATTATTTTGATGGCTGATAATTCTTCATCGATTGATATGTAAAAGAAAACTTTAAATCACTAGGAGGAGGTTTTTTGGAGAGGTGCAAGTAGGGAGGTATTGTGCATTTATGGAGACGATCTTCAATAATTCATTCAACATTTAGTACTCGTGATAGTATTCGATGGCAATTAAATTTGATGCTAAAAACGACATATAGTGATATCATCGCACATACAGCTTGCTCGATTGTACCTGGATAACATATCACTTCCCAATCTAACATTAGTTTCAATTCGTTATAGCTGGTTACAATCGACGATTGGGGAATCATCGGTTTCTAAGTGAAAAATTGCTTTTACACAAAGATTTCTCAAAAAGCAAATGTTCAAGAAAATGCGAAATTTTTCAAAGTTAGACTAATTGTTTATATTGATGATAGACCATTCTGTCTTGATATCTAATCTAACAGTAAAAAGGAATATATCCTTTGCACTGGATATTACTGTTCTTTTCCTACCAAATTCCGCTCAGAACAGAGATACACAGAAAAATCTACTTTTACTGATGCACTTAAATTTTTAACGTCCACTGACCAAGAAAATTTGTTCGTTTCGCAGATATTTCCAACCCTTTTGAGGAAAAACTCAGAAGGTTTGTTCTCTGCCATAGAAGAAAGAATGACAGTCTTACCTGATCTGTTGCACACAGATAGTGTTTCCATGGATCATTAAATATACTACCGAGAATTTTTATACAACGAATAGGTATGATATCTGAACAAAGGAGACTTGACAAACATAAGCCGTATTTGACTGTTACTTACCAGAAAGAAATTGATTGTTATCTCCAATCTTATCTAATAGATCTGGTAATTTTTCATTCGCTGCTTTTTCAACATTGACACCAGTGAGCATTTGAACATCAGCAAATAACTAGAAATAGAAAACGGGAATGTGAAGTAGCGTTAAACAATTTGTTCAATTTACTTACTAAATTCATCAGACGATATGCAGGAAATTTAAGCAAAATATCAACTGTTTTGTTTGTTTGAATATAATGACGACGATAATTGTATGTTTTACGCCATAGATTCTTTATCATATCGTTACCAACTGGATTTTTAACTAATTCTTGATTCATTGAATCAGCTAGTTTTTCAAAATCTTCAACTTCAGTTTCTTGAACAGGTTGAACGATCATCTACAGAGAAATCATTGTTCGCAACACAAATAACCTATTGTCTCTTGGTTACCTTTCTTTCATCTGTTCTTTCACACAAATCAGATATATTTGGTTCTTTCAGACGACGACCAAAATTTGGCTTTGAATATTTATTCTTCATGGCAATCACTCCTTCATCTGACGTTTTTGCTTGCCTTGCACGTTTCATCTTTGATATTAAAGACTGTTTTCATGTGGTCTGTAAAAGACAAATGTTTATCACCAAAAAGAATAAACTTCTTATACTTACTATATTAGTCTTGGTGAGATTCAGTCCAAGACATTCAACAATTCCACGAGCTATTGATTCGTATTGTTTAGCTTTAGGGTATCTAGAATAAACAGGATATTTGCAATAATCAAATTAGCTTTATATGGTGCAAAATACTTACAATAAACTAAAAGTCGTTGTTATATCATTATAAACAGCATCAAGAATAGTTTGTCTGTAATTACATAATTTTTCAAATTTGTCCTATTGTTTATTTGTGATAGCCAATTGCACATGTTCGGGAAGATTGCGGAGTGAGTATTTGTCAGAAAATTCTTTTTTTATATTAAATTCAGTTGTTGTTGCGCTCGGTACTGTAAGTGATAATTGATGTGACAGCTCAACATTATCATCTTCTGGTTTCAATAAATCATTTTGTTCAACCGTTGTTGTCAATGAGAAGAATTTTTCAACGAATGACGCTGTTGTTTTACTGCTACTATTGTATTCATTATTTTCTTTCTCAAATAGTCAACAACACATCCTACCTCTAAATATTATTCAGTCGATTACAAATAGTATTATTTCGTTTTTGACATCGTATTGGATCTTGTAGAAGAGCTAGCAAAAGATAATAAGTGGGGCTTTCTCCTGAGCGAGGAGAACCAACAATTCCCATGGACATTGTTCGAAAACAGTTAAAGAAATTGAAGATACGATTATTACTGTTACAAAAAATGAATACCAATTTGTTGCTGCATGCAAACGCTTTTTTGACTATTCGCCACCGATAGAAGTTCTATTATCTCTACCTGGTGAAAAAAAAATGCTTTTATTATGTTTCGATCAAACAACCGCTGAAAAAGATCCTTGAGAAAGATGGGATGATCCCACTCGTGATCGATAATATTCAAAATCAAGTAAAAAAGACGCGAAATGATGCTGATCTAATGTATTCATATAGAGATGGGATAAATGGGAGTAAAGCAGCCATTCATGTCCGAATGTACGTCGATGTTTTTTTGCCCTTATTTTACAAGGAAAACCGAAGTTATATCCGAAACAATAGAAAATGTAACAGATTTATACTGTCGTTTTTTGAGAGTGACAACTATATTCGATTGCGAATAATGCCTTGGAAGTTTTTTACTATGCTTTACTGAACGTTTTGCTTCAGTTTTCCAAAAAGGAAATAACTTGAGTAGACAGTAGTAGATTAATCGCCATAAAATTATCGATATCTTTCGCATTTTAACATATCAGTACTTAGTAAGTGTCCATCGTTCTCTAAAAACCTTACTCCTGTTCAGTTTGTAAAGAATCTGAATGAACCAAATAAAAGTATGTTATGTAGCATTAAACGTGACTTGTATCCTTCCTTGTGTCAGTAGTGACAATGAATTGTGTGTTTATGTTTTATTAATTCTGGAGTTGCTATTTTACATTTAGTACGAACTGATCTGCTTCTTGCTGAATTTTCTCTCTAGCTTCGACAATACCACGAGTTATAAGTTGAGTAATTTTTCTTGATATTATATGATTACGGCGTTTGAAATTTGAAATCCAATGCAGAGATGCTGTGAAACAGTGATTAATCTCTCTGACTTTTTTTGAAACAATACTTCTCAAATCATCATCATGTACAGCGATGTAACTACTTATTGCTTCACGAAATTCTTCACTGACTGATTGATCTAACATACGATATTATTATTGTGTGTTATCCTTCTCTTCTATGTCATTCTTAGCACAACGCAGTTGTTCATAATGTTTTTTCCGTCAATAATGTTTGATTACGACAGAAAATTTGTGTTTTTTTCGTATTGAACGATCGCAATCATTTCATCGTATGTGTAGGCTTCCCTCGAAATATAGCAGGATCGATCGTTTGTGTTGTTGCCATCATGATCATACTCTTCTTCGCTGTCTTCCTCACAGGCAGAATTATTCGCCTCACTATTTTCATTATGCAAAGTACTTGTGATATATATGGAACAGCTCATATGATCAGCTCCTCACACACATAATTAGCTGAAAAGCTACGTCTTCTTCTCTTCCAGATGACCGGCATCCGTTATGGCTCACCCGTTACATGCTATACACTACAGTCAAGTACGCTGACTGCGAATATAATATTTTCAGCTAACACACCACTGGGTCTTCGCTGAATTAAAGCAATTGTACTTTTTTATATTGTCAGATTACCCTATTTTCTATCAAACATATTCTTTTTGAATGAAAGCTCTGTATTTCTCAAATAAGCACCCGTATAGAGAACTTTTTCAGCTACAACTTAGTATACAGGGTTTATCAATTTGGTTTGTTGCATCTGGAAAAAATGCATTTCTTTAGGTGCAAGGGCCTTTTTATCACCTATCACCTTTTCTTAACTCTATATCTTAATGAAGAAAACATATTTTAGACTTTTAAATAAAGAAAGGGCGCATAAGATCCTTTCGCGGTCCAAAAGCGTTTTGAGTTTTTTGTACTGGAATCCAAACAAAAACTATTATCTGAATCCTAATGTCCCGCGGCGTCTTGAAGTTTTCTTCACACGATCTCGAGTAGACTTCCCTCCATTGCGTGAAATACTAAAGGAAAGATATTTGCTACATAATGGTGAACTGGATGTATGCGATTGTGGTCAAACTAAAAGTCTTTCTCATTACTTTCTTAATTGTGATATATATAACGACCAAAGAAGGACATTGTGCGAATCGTTACTGTCTGTTGAAGCTTTTATTCTAGATCTTGTGCTCTTGAGAATTCACAAGGATTTGGACTCGATGAAGTTGTTTGCTAGTGCTGTTACAAAATACAACAAAGAAACAAATCGCTTTAATGATTCGCTAGTTTCCAAATCTATCAATTATTTTTATTTCTATACAACAATCGAATTCCCTCAGATTTGCGTCATCGTGCCCCTACCCTCTCTCTTATTATCATTTACTCTTGCCTTTTCTTCATTTCTCTTTTTCTTTTTTACCTCTGTTCATTCACTTATTGATTATTTCTGTTCTCATTCTTCAGGAATCTTTAATTCATCATTCAGCATTTTGTCGCCAAGTAAGAATGTTATAGCGACTAACAGCTCGGCTATTTTCTTACTTGTACTATTATGTTGCATAAAGTTTATAAAAAAAAGAAAAAAGAAACAAACACAAAGACGGTGATGCTTATTTAGCTCATGTTCGACTTTTTTTTCTTTCTTTTGTTTGTGAAAGAATAGAAAATAACGTGTTTGCAGATATATCATTTTTCTTCATGTCTTTCAAAACTCATGTTATAATATATAGAAAGAAAAAAAATCTCTAACGGTAAAATAACACGTTTGTTTGTAACCAGCTGAAAGTGTGTTTTTTACATGTGATACAACAACTAGTAGAATGGCTCAGGAACCAACAGTAGAAGACGAAATTGAGCTCACCAGCATCTTAAGTATTAATCATTCGATTCGCCAAAGCGTACAAAATGCAACAAATGAATTCTTATTACTCGAACAAAGCTTGATGAAAAATATAACCGAGTTTAAATTAGATCAAAGTATTCAACATATTACAAAACCATTGACAGACTCAATTAAAATTAAAACGTTGAATCAAGAAGTAACGTCAGATAAAATACATCTCGCTCTATGCGGACCAAATTCAAGTGGAAAAACGTCATTTCTATCGTTATTTCTCAAGATTGATAATATTCTACCATCTGGTGCTGGTCCTGTTAGTGCTCGAATTGTTCGATTGACCTACGCTCTACCACAGGACGCCTGTTTACGCGTCTATAAATCGTTAAAACATGAATTATCGTCAGAAGATCTTGAAGAAACAGTTGAGCTCTCTGAATATTTTGGTGATGAAGAAAATCCAGATTGGGAGGGTATTAAAAGTGCGATCCGATTATTTGTTACTCGTCCTCAAGATAAAAGTGCAGAATCCGACGAGTTTGCATCATGGGCAAAACATTTCGTAGAAATAAGAATACCCTCATCAATACTAAAACTAGGTATTAATGTATATGATACACCAGGATTTTTATTTAGTGATGCACCCGTTTTGAAAGATAATCTTCGACAGTTAGTGAAAGAAATTTCTCCAACTCTCATATTTATGTATGTAAATGCGTCAGTTGATAGCGATACACAAGATTGCTTTTTGGCATTGAAAGAAACATTAACGAATATTGAGAATACTATCTTTTTTTTGAACACAAAAGTTGATGTTGATCGGATATTTTCTGATTCGGGTATTAGAGAGAAAAACGTGACAAAACGAGCAGAAATGTTTCCGAGAGTGCTTTTAGCAGAACGGCAAAAACGTTATAATCTTCTATTGCAAGTACCTTCTATGGCAAAAGAAGTTCCGGGTGGATTAGCGGTTTCTTTAAACGACTGCGACTGTTTTGATGTTATCAGCGTACATTCAGAGCCGTCTCCTAATGGAGCGTCGATGAATCGGTATACAATTAATCGGATGATAAAATTTGTTGCAAATTCCGATTTGAAAATAGCTAAAAAAATTATAATGTTAGTTTTACCAGCTATTGACGCTTTTTTTGATTTTGCTCTTGTAACTAGTCATAGTACACAAGAAAAACTAGAAAAGCTGAGGCGTAATGCACGTTTGTGGAGTGACAAGTACTTTGTTGAGACACAAGTACACTTTGATCAGCTGTTAGGAAAGGTTTTTGCAAATATACTTGAGCGTTTAAGTGAAGAAAGGGAGAGTATTGCAAGTAGAGCTGCAAAATTAAAAAATCCAGCATTGATTGAACAATATGTTCGAGCAGCAGTGCAACAAGATGTTATTAAAGTTGGAGTTAATGGCATAGTGGAGCAGATTTGTAATACGTTTCTTGAATTGATAATATCAAATGGAGAATTATTAAATAATACAGACAGAAATGAGTTTTTGGTAGCAGCTCAACGTAGTGCTTTAAGTGAACTTCTTCAACTACATAATAGTCAAGGAGATTTTCTTGTTCGCACCGTCTTTTTACTAATGTTAGTGCTAATTGAGTTACTACTCGATGATGGAGATGACCAAAATGTTAGAGATCAGTCAATATTATCAATAAAACTTTTGTTACGAGAAACTTCGAGTCGGAAAATACGTGTAGACAAGAGTATGAACTTGTTAGATCAAGCTCATCATTGTTTATCACAAATTCATGAGAATATACTAGATCGAAAAAAGAATTTAAATATTATTACTGAGTTCTGCATTAGACTGCATAAACAGCAGTTACTGGAAAAGATTGATCAACACTATGTGCTTGCCCTCAAATTTCTCCCACATAGAGAAAAAGCTCATAATTTAGCAGAGCTGTATGCAAGTCAGTTTGCGCGTATTGAGTGTAAATTAATAGCAGCAAAAGATTTTACGGAAAATAAAGGAGTTTTACCTCAGATTGATCAGAGTAGCGATTGGAGTGAAAACATACTCTTCTCTCTTCATCAGGCTCAATGGGGAAACGAAAAGAATTTAGTTGTAAAAAGATTGAAAACCCCAATAGGATATTTGGAAGCTCACTACCATCGGAAAATTACAATGTTAACGATCCCGAATTTACAACCGCTTATATATCTTTATGAAAAAGAAGACGAAGAAATTTGGTTATTTTTTCCGAGATATAAGGATACTTTAAGCAGGTACATAGAAGACAATAATTGTTCTATAAATTTACGTCAAGCTCTGACATTTTGCTCCCAAATTGCAGGCGTTCTTAATAATTTGCATTCGAATGATATTGCACATGGAAAAATAAACACAAAAAATATTGTATTGACTGATAATAGAGATGTTTGTTGTGTATCTCAGATTGATACAAGTGCGAGTGAAGCTAGTCGTTATAATCTTTCTTCAATATCTGAAGAGATTTGTGATGATATTTCCGCGTATGGATATGTATGTTTAGAATTTTATAACGTTCTAAGACGAGACAATGGAAGTGAGGAGAAGGGCAGCGAAAAAATAATGCAAGAGTTTAAGCGTTTAATTGACAAATGTTTGGATGAGGATATTACGGTACGGCCAAAAGCTACATCAATTGTACGAAAACTAAAAGAAATGGAAAACTATGTTTTTGATTGACTTGATGTTTTTCTGTAAATCTTTGATGTTGTTTCAAATTTTTCTTCAATTTAATAAAATTTAATTTTCTGTTCGCTTTTTTTTGATTGCCTTTACAGTTCTTCAGCTTTTCAGTTGATTAAATACCGAATATTCGGACAGTTTTTATCAGTTTTAGATTATTTACAACCGGCAAACATTTACCTTTCGAACAATTATACTAATTTACGTTTTATCTTTTGAAAAATTTAATCATGTAAGAAGAAGCTGGTTCGTGCCAATACTGCGGTAAATGAGCCTGTATTTATTCTAGTAAAAAACAACCGAAAACCATTGTTCTGCCTATTAATCTCAATATGGCATCAGCTATATCTTCAAATGTTGTGGAAAAGAGTGCATGTGATAGTTCACCAAATCAAGCTGACCACCTTTATCAAATGAGACAAACTCTTCAATCTAATCGTAGAATCAAACAAATGGTACGACAAGCAACAAATGATTATTTAGATTTACAAAAGACATTTCTTGAAGATTTATCACAATTAGATTTTGGTAATGAACATGTATTAAACATCATTTCATCGGATTTGAAACGAGTCACTAATACTCAGTCAACGTTTGACCAAATACAACTTGTTCTTTGTGGCCCAAACTCCAGTGGAAAAACATCTTTTCTTCATGCATTTCTCAAGATTGATCCAATACTACCGACAGACTCCGGTCCGGTGAGTGCCCGTATTATTCGACTGACATATGCACCGAGAGAATCAGCGTATTTACGAGAATACAGCTCATTTAAACTCAAGCATACAAGAGATGATCTAAAAGATACTGTGAACTTGACAAACTTTTTTCGTGAGGGCGAGGAGCCAGATTGGAGAGGTATAGAAGATGCCATTAGAAAGTACATTCAACGACCAGAAAAAGAGAGCGACGTGGATTTTGCCAATTGGGCGAAACATTTTGTTGAAATAGGCTTACCGTCGCCTACTCTTGAGCTTGGTATTAACGTATATGATACACCGGGTTTCCTATTTCATGAGAGCGAAAACGTATTGAAAGAAAATCTACATGAATTAGTAAGGACGATTCATCCAACAATAGTTTTTATGTATGATAATAGTACAATAGCAAATGATGCTAATGACTGTTATCTAGCATTGAAAAGTGCACTAAATAGTTTAGAGGATATTCACATCTTTTTTCTAAATACAAAAGTTGATCCCAATGTTGTATTAGCTGATGCCGGAATAAATCTCCACAACAAAAAACAAGTAACAGACGAAAAATTTCGAGAAGCACTTCCAAAAGCAAGAGAAAAATGTTATGAGCTGTTGAGAAAAGCACCAGCAATGGTAAACGAAGGAGCTAGCGGTCTGCCCGCATCATTAAATGATTGTGATCATTTTGATATTTGTAGTATCCCGCAGCCTGAGAGTTGCCTGTTTTCTTCAGCTGAAGCGATGACGGAAAATACTGTCAGGCGAATAGTTCAGTTTGCCACACGTACAGATTTAATTGAGACATCACATATTCTTGATAGTGTTTTACCAACTGTTGAAGCATTCTTTGACTTTGCGTTAACCACAAGTCATCGAGAGCCTAGTCAATGGCAGAAATTACGAGCTGATGCAAATATGTGGGGAGAATACTTTTTTGCACAGTTAGAAGAGCAATTTTCATTAATTATGGTAACAGCGTATACAAATATTCTCAGCCGTTTCGACGAAAGATCACCGAGTATAGCAGAACGTAGTGCAAGATTAGATCGTACGAGTGATCCAATGCAAACCCATTTGCAGAAATCAAAAAAGGTTAAAGAATTTATTAAAATAGCCGTTCAGGAAGAGGTAATTAAAGCGGCTGTGAATGAAATAATAAGCGAAACAAAAAACAGCCTGAGAAAATCGATTAGTAAATTTATTGTACGTAATGCGGAGAAAAATGAATTGTTGATAGCAGCACAGCGTGCTATACTAACTGATCTTTCATCTACTGATATTGAACAGAGAAATTGGTTCGAACGTCTGAGGGATCATGTGTCCATGTTACCATCAATATTCAAGCGTTTTTTCAAAACTATTAGGACGCTGCCAAATGTTGAAAGGTGGAANACAAAAAACAGCCTGAGAAAATCGATTAGTAAATTTATTGTACGTAATGCGGAGAAAAATGAATTGTTGATAGCAGCACAGCGTGCTATACTAACTGATCTTTCATCTACTGATATTGAACAGAGAAATTGGTTCGAACGTCTGAGGGATCATGTGTCCATGTTACCATCAATATTCAAGCGTTTTTTCAAAACTATTAGGACGCTGCCAAATGTTGAAAGGTGGAACAAACAAGCAACAGCAGATTTTTCGAGTGAGCAATCATTTTATGAATATGCTGACGCATTAGACTCATCCGAAAATCTCATAGATGACGCAAAACGAAGAGAGTTTTCTAATAAATATTTGTTAAAAGTAAAATCAAAACTAGAAAAATTCGAGAAAATATTTGAACGTAATTTAAATGAATGGATAAAAAGCAAAAAATTATCATTTGCCAAACAAATTGAACAGAACTATAATCTAGCATTGAAGTGCTTGGCAGTACGAAAAACAGCGTATGAATTGAGCAATAGATATTCAGGGCAATTTGCACGTATTGAATGTAAATTGTTGGCTGCAAGAGATTTAGTAAAATTTAACGGTGTCGTACCTAATATTGATGAGAGTACATTTTTGGGATCAGGAAGTTTTTTTCGTGTACACGAAGCACAGTGGGGGAGTAAAACAGAATTAGTTGTAAAAAGGTTAAAAGAACCGTTGAGTGAATATCCTTACATTCAATATTTGGAAGCTCATTATCATCGAAAAATAACTCGCCTAGAACTGCCTCATACAGGTCCTCTGCTATATCTATACGAATGTCCGAGTGAGGATCAAGGAACAGATGGAGACTTGTGGATATTCTTACCGAAATATAAATGGACCTTAAGCGATTATTTGAAACAAAATATAAAAGAGATCAAAGTAGATAAGGTGTTGCAAATTAGTTTAGACATAGCTCATGTTGTTGATGAACTGCATAGTAATGAACTAGTACATCGTGATATTAAAGCTAATAATATATTACTTGATGAAAACGATGTCTGTTATCTATGTGATTTTGGTACGTGTAAAGAAGGAACCTTGAATAGTACCATATTGGGTACAATGCCTGTAGCACCTGAACTTTATGCTCAACGATATGATCCATCATTTGCTTATGATGGTAAAGCGGTTGATATATTTGCTTTTGGATTACTAATGTATGAATTATTACCAAAAGCTAAATATCATCGTCCCCATATTAGCAATAGTAATGAAATAAAAGAATTTTTGAAAAAAGTTTATCCAATTGAAAAGAAAAAAGAATACGAACGTGTGCTTGAAATGTGTCTGCAACAGGAGGCGAAAGCACGTCCAAATGCGCATGAAATTGTTGAAAAATTAGAAGAAATTCAAATGAGTTTAAGAGAAATGAAAAAAGAATGTAAAATTTGTATGGATGAATCGACAAAACTTCGATTTTATCCGTGTGGTCACAAAGTTATGTGCGAATCGTGTTTGAATGATTTGCGACAAAAGAGTAAAAATAGAGAAGTGATCTGTACACATTGTAATCAAAAAGTTGAAAGATGGGAAGAAGATGATAAGGATGATACATTTTATGTAAAAAAAGGCTACCAAATATGAATTAGGTATGAGCTAGTATTAGTACTTTACTGAAAAATGATACTGACGAATACTGATATTATATTAAGGGAAGAGGGAAAACTAGACTTTGTAGCTCCTTTTGTTTGCCTACTTTTCGCTTGTTCACTTTTAAGGAAGTCTTTTTCACAGTTGAGTCTAGAGACAAAACGATGTGTAATTTAATTTCCTAATATTTATGTGCTAAGTCCAACTTGATATATTTCGATCTTCAGCGATTAAAAACACCAAAAGTCTTGTAATAACATAGAACAGAACCGTGTAGAAATCGGTGTATTCTACTCTGAAGATCAGCTTCTAGAAACTCCTTTTCGGCACATAATGTTTAGGAAATTTAATTTAGCTCATTTTACGTTTTAGAGTCGAGTTTCAAAACTGCTTCATTCAATGTGAAAAACGTTAATTAAAATTGTTAAAAAAATTGTTTTCGACATCAGTATTCGCCACTATTCAGTATTGTCAGTATCAGTTTTTCAGTAAAATACTGGTACTGGCGCACACCTAGTATGAACTAATGGAAGTTACTTTATTTTATTTTATGTAATAAAAGCTAAGATTTTCATTTTGAGTTGGTTCTGTGCTTTGAAATTCTTTTTATTGATATAAATAACCTGTTGACATGTTTTTTTTTACTTCTTGGTAAATAATAAACAAGACTGCTACACATCGCTTACAAATCCATGTTTCTACTTACATGAACAAACAAGAAACACTTTAAAAAATGAATTTAAGCAATTGTCGCTGGTGTTATGATGATCCATTAGGAATACGATTACAAAAATCAGGTGTATTTAACAGAAACAGATTTATCTCTCAGAAGCAGTGCACGATAGAGACGAGCTAAGTTGTTAAATGAACTTTCACAAATTGTTCTCAAATTTTCAGAGCACATAGAGAAATGTATCCTGAACACTTTTGTCTCTTGACATTTTTTTTCAAAGTGATTTTCCTCGACGCTAGAGCGCTTGCAAAAATAGTCGTAAAATACGGAAAAAACGCGATTTTTCGGACGAAAATTTTCCTTATTCTATAACTCCGCCAGATAAAATGCAGATGAGCTTAAATTTTCACCAGAGCTGTGTTGGTATGAGTACTATCCATGATAAAAATTTGAGCTTGTTTAAGTTAAGCGTTCTCCAGAAATAGTTTATTCTTTAGACATTAACAAAACGTCATCGGCCGTTTTGCAAACAGGTTTTTGCTATTGAAGATGGCCCGAGTGAAAAAACATTCTGAAAAACCTCAAAGCGTCAGTGTTCTGCTGGACCACTTTTTCGGTGTGGTCAACAATATATGGCACCTTTTAAGTCTTTCCTGAAAGGTTCCTTGAATCAGCATGAGATTTGATCAAGATATAAGGAGTTTGATTTTTCCTAGTAACAGGCGAAGAACCGGTTTTTCACAAAAATGCCTCTGGGAAAGTTATATTCATTTCTACAAAAAAAAATGTTGCCACTATGCTCAGTGTAGTCGATTATCTGTATTCCATGGCATTTCGAGATTCCCAGAGATGTCTGTTCGAAGATAGATATGTTCTCAGAGAAAGCGAGCCCTGTCCGAACAACGATAGCTAGAGAGTCGGGACTTGCATCATTTTGTAGAGTAACGTTCGGACTATGTACCCATGCAAAAAAATTACTAACATTGTATGCTAGTTTTCTGAGAACGGAGCTGGTTTTCAAAAGATCCTCTGAAAACCTGATCTTTGAAATTTTTTTAAAAGTTGTTTTCGCTTGTGAAAAGTTTCGCTCAAGTCTTGGCTATGGAACAGCGAATATCGGCTATTTTCTCTACCTCATTTTCGTCGAAAGTTATTAAAAAAATGCCTACCGGCACTGTATTTTGGAATGGATTATAGAAAAAGAACTACTTTAACGATTTGTAAAACCAAAAATTTCGACTACAAAGTTTTCGATAAACTCACCGTTTGAGGTGAAATATTTATCAGCGAATGTTTCGATAAAAGTTCGAAGTACTTACTATTCAACATCCAGTAATTCAAGAAAATAAAACATTGAAGAGTAATATCATCAGTAATCTCAATTTAATATCCCTTTGAAACACGATGTCATGTCTGCTTATTTTTACCTAATTGCGTCTTAATAACGCTCTTATTATTCTTCGTTTCGAATCTTAAGTGCTAAGAAGAACACGTGACGTTCGTACCTGTTGAGACGGAGCAGCTTGAATTTCACTTTCAGAGGGGTGAAAACTTAGATTTTTCTAAAAAACCGAGAAACACTGTTATTTCATTCTAAAAGAAAACGATGTACGATTCAAACTGTTAATGAAGTTCTCTTTTTGGTATAAAACCTCGCTTTTGTGCTGGGCAACATGGAAGAGAGTAACATATTCGCGGTGGTGGACAACACGGAGGTAGACGTGAAGGCATTGGGCAAGACTGTTGTTGTGAATTAGATGACGGCTAAAATAGAAATAAAACAAAAATTCAAGTGGATAACTATGGAGAAATATCTATCTTTTAGAAGTTTGCCGTGAAATTCGTATGTTCGAACGACATATTCAAGAGAAGAGTGAACGAACTAACAATAATTATGCCAGTTTTAAAAAAAAATTAATTTTCTCTCAGAAAACGAGGCATTTAGTCTACGAAAAAACGTATCTTCTTACCGACGCAACCATCACTATTGTAGGTAAACATGGGCAATACTGTGACATTACATTGGTTCATCTGTCATTACTACCATAAAATGATGGATCATTACGATCTCGGATACTATACATATTGAATGTTGTAAAAAAAATATATTAATCGAATTGAACAAAAACACTGATGCCCACTCAGTTTGAAACGAAACGTCAAAAATGGTATGTTATACAGGTGCCAAATGTCCATTATTGTTTGATTTTTTAGAGAGAAATTGATCGATCAGCAGCTGTATCTGGTACTCCTGAATGAGAGAGAAAAAGAGTGTAGAACAATTCGATTCGGTTTGAAGCTTCCAATCTGAACAAATAAAATTGGATTAAATAGTAGATTTTTGTTAGGAATATTGATTAGCCAAATGGAGTTACTATATAATACGTTCGCTCTACTATCTTCTTATTTTCGAACCAAATTGACCATAATAAGCTATGTCGAATAAAAAGCGACCCAATACGTTATTTTTTGGATAAATGTTTGACCCATCACTAAAAACCTTGCCCGTTTTGCCCATCGTTTTTTTCCGACACAATAGAAGTTTGCCCAATGGTCTAAAAATCCTGGTTCCTGATCGCCTCCGTATCTTTTAAGAATTTTATTGCCATATTACATCCGGTTTTAATAAAACTTTCGTGAAATGATTATCATGATAAGATATGACTACGATAAGATGTTTCAGCTATATATCAAATCTCTACCGACCTTTGGGAGAATCTCTAAATGGGTTCGTTTTTCTGAGTGAAGATTCGATATTATTTTAATAACTAGTAATAGTTATATCTAAATCTCGACAGACCCACTTGTCTAAATTTCTTAAATGGTAAAAATTGAAAACCGTTTGAAATTTTTTTAAAGATTTTGTTGTATACACTAAAAGAAAGGCCATGAAAAATCAAGTACTGTCAGAGAATAGAGAATCGTTCAGATCAACAAAAATGTTGCCCTCTGTTGAAGTAGCACAGAAAAAAGCTCCATAAAAACTTAAAAAGAAGGAAAACGCTGTTTTCTAGGTATAGTAGCACCAGTGTATGATACATATTTTAAAGGCTTTTCATACAAGTATCATAACTTAGAAACAAACGTTGCTCAGAGCTGGTAGACTTCGCATTTTAATTAGAAATATTATAAGTAAGCAAGGCAATAGAAATTTCCTATAGGAATCACAAATCTAAAATTCCAGTTTGATTTCGACTAGAACTTAAGAAATTATTAGCGAATTTTACATATGATAATCGCGAGCTCATAAAAATTCTGTTTAGAAATGTGTAGGACTATTTGTTTGTGTTCATTCGTCACTTCATTAACATCATCTATCAAAAGTAATATTTTAACTACGGTTGGACTGACCAAATGAAAACTAGATGCCTAGGATTTTATACATTTTGTGAAAGACGAAAACATATTTAAAGATTTTGAAAAGAATGTGGATGAGTCTTATGCATTCGAGACAAGATGATTCATTACAAAGAGTAAGGGAAAAGGTTGATAGGAAAAGACATTTTTCGTCATTTGTCCATTCGCCTTGGGAAATTCTGTTTTAATCTTGCTAAACACCATCATTCAGACGACCGTTGTGTGGAGGACCGCAGCTCCAAGCAGGCTAGTGCATCTTAAAGAATTTAATTACATGATACCGCCTAATAGTAAAAACGACCTGAATCTATCGTTGCTTCTGACAGTCGGATGACTCATCGTTTTACAGTCTATTTTAGTCTAGCACCCTCCACATATTTTGTTGCGTTTGTCCGCCTCGAGAGTTTGCTGGCATATTTTTATTCTCAAATCTCATAGTTTAGTAAAAGAATCCAGGGACTAAAGTTAGTTGAGTGTTTGGGTCAAGTTGCGGCAAGAAAATGTCTCAAAAGAAACCAAAATGGCTGACAGTATATGGTGGATGGTCTACAGACAGAACAAGATGAATTTTTTTCTCGTATACTATGTAAAAGGATGCTCTATGTGTATATATTCGATGGCTCAATACGATACAGCAAACTATGATGAATATTCTTTTCATCATCGCGGGCTCGATTCCCGCTCGAATTTCTTTTTAGTTTTTTTGCACAGTTTTTTTCACCATTATTCATGTGCGTTTCTAGTTATAAACTCCATTCATTGTTATTCTCCTTTCCTGGCATTTTGTCGGCATTCTTAGCTCTAGGACATGCTTCTTTTTACTAGATAGCTTTGTGCTATTCATATCAGCTCTCCAAAGGTAGATGAGTAAATTTGTGACAAATTCCATACTTGAAGAAGTCTGCTTCTGACCAATAGGAGAAATTACACTGCATCATTGATAAACAGTAGAAAAAAAACGTCA